TATGCTAGTGAGGTGTTTTTACTGATTTGGGCTTGGCTTCATTTTCTAACACAATTAGCCATCTAGCACGGGTTTTCTTTTCAATTTCTTTATATATAATCAGCCACTTTTAAATTTGAGGAGCCAAAGGATTTAGAAAGATTCTAGAAAGACTTTTTTTAGTTTTCCTACTGTAGAAGGGAAAAGTGAGAAAAGGTGTATTTTGGGGTTTTCTTTTGTTTTGGTTAAAGTGAATTCTAATTCTTCAATTCATGGGGCACTACATTTTACCCTTCCTGGATGTGAGTCTCCTAATCTGTGAAACAGAAAAGGCAAATACCTGAGGCTGAAACATTCCCACACTGCCGCAGCCGGACAAGTATTCTCTATAACTCGGGCATGTGTATTGCACAGCAGCATGATTATCCAAATAAGACAAATTTATTATAATAGTTACTGATTTAAGGGAACTTTATAAAGCTGACATTGTTGACTAAAGTTTACAACCCTGAAATCAAATAAGTTTAAACATTAAAGTAGTTTTAATTAAGTGAGAAGAATAAAATACATATGTAATTCCAGTCTAAAAGTTTATCTGTTTCAAACCATATAATGTTACTGACAAGAGTCCTCTAGAACAGATACAAACCTAAATTCTGGCATCTAAGAAAAAAGCTCTAAAATATTATCAACACTTCTGGGTTGATGATTTAAATTCACTATTTATAATTGAAGAAGGTAGGTATCTTTCTACCCATTTCTCAGTATTTCATAAACTAACCCTCCATTTTATATCTTCTCCTGAATTATAATTCTGAAATGCAGGTAGCTATTATCTGATCTTGTTGGCGGGAGACCGGTTTTTCAACATTTGAATATTACTTAAGTAAAATTATAGAAAATTTACCTACGCTATGCCTTTTCTCTGTTAAACTACAGCACTGCCCTTTTCTTCACTGGTTCTTCAGAACCGATCATAATTAAAAATTAAACTTTAAAGTCATATGCTTAAAACATAAATGCAGTTGGCAGCAGAGAGATGCCAAGGCCCTCAGTGGCCAAGGTCTGAGAATGAATGGGCCTTCCTAGGTTACAGCTCATCTCAGCCAGGGCCTTCAATAAACCTCTCTTCACCGAAGAAGTTCTTTTGTTACTCTAAAGTGTCCTCCTCTTTTTAACAAACAAACAGCACAAGATACTGAGAGATTTATTTTTTCCCTTCAATGATCTATCTTTTGGAAATTAACAAGTGTTTTTATCCCAGCCTAAATATGTAGTATATACATACCATTTAGTCGTCTCTGGAGTGCTTCTTCCTCTAAGGTAATCATATAAATTTGTTCATCCAGGTCTTCAAGAATCTAAATTTAAAGATAAAACTACTCAATAATTCAACATTACAAAACAAATGTTTATGAGACGATTTAGGCTATTTGGTCTATTTATTTCATTCAGATAATGTATTCATTCAAATTTCTAAGAACCCAAAATAAAAAAGCTATAACTATTTTACTTACAAATTAAGTATAAATACTTTAGTATATAGCCAAACATCAGAAGTTACCACAAATCCTATATACATTTAAATTAGGTATTTTTGAAGTTTAAAGGATTAAGCTAAGAACTCTGTTTTCTCAACGGCAAAAAAAATGTATGAGTTTTAGGGTTTTTTAGCAACACTCTGTGATACAGGCTACATGTATGAATTTTTTTTTTTTAAACAGAGTCTTACTCTCTTGCCCAGGCTGGAGTGCAGTGGTGCAATAATCTCAGCTCACTGCAACTTCCGCCTCCTGGGTTCAAGCCATCCTCCCGCCTCACCCTACGTAGTAGCTGGGACTACAGACACGCATCACCATGCCTGGCTAATTTTCATATTTTTAGTAGAGATGGGGTTTCACCATGTTGACCAGGCTGGTCTCAAACTCCTGACCTCAGGTGATCCACCCACCTCAGCCTCCCAAAGTGCTGCGATTACAGGTGTGAGCCACCATGCCCAGCCATGTATAATTTTAAACAGCCAAAAAGCTACCTACAGTAAATAGGTCATTAGGCCCAAGCCAACATTTTAGAGATAGAAGGAACAGAAACCCAGTCTAACATTCGTTTCCTCATTTACATTTACCTACATAATGTCTAAAACAAGAAATCCATAAACTACATCAGTAACATGCAATACTTTCCATTTATATCATCTTTATGTACTAAAAACGCTCCACGAATACTGAAGATTGGTATTATCAAAATCATCCAATAGACAGAAATCTAGAGAAGTAGTATGTTTACATATAAACTAAGTCATACAACAGTAGTTAAAAAAACAGCATACTAATCATTTACCAATTGTATGGGATATTGTGTGCACTGTTAAAAAACCTAGAATTGATTTAACGCTAGTTTTGTTAACATAGCTATCCTTCTATGAGAGGATCCTTACTATCTTCCTAGCTGTAGGGAAAATCTGAAAGAAATCTAGAGCTGATATTAATGTTCTATATCATTCACATCCAAACTACTTATACTCAGCAAAAAAATAAATTGTGAGGAGTTAATGGACAAAAAGATAGAAACCATATATACATCTCCTTTCAGATTTTAAAGTATTTTCAGAAAACAGATTTTCAAAAAATGCATTCCCTATCAGACGTCAAATTTATACAGCTTCTGTGAAATTGATTTAAAGTAATCCAATAATTCCCAGCCTTTCAACAAATCATTAGGGTCCCCTATGGTCTCGCCCTGAACTCATCATGGGTACACACGCCAACTCTATCCTTGAGAAGCCTGACTTGGGAGGTAAGAACCAATAAATATGAAAATAAAAATAAATAATAAACAAATAAATATACAAATAAATAATGACAAAGAATGGCCATTCTATGAGGAAGAAAGGAAGAGGAAGAAAAGGGGAAGGGACACCTAAACGGCCAACCAGCAAGCCCTCTCCAAGGACGGAACATTTAGGCTGAAATGAGTGGCACGTGCTGGAATGTGTGCTACTTCCTAGGAGAAGGAGTGGTACATGGAGAGGATCTACTGGATGCAGTAGGTCAGGGGACAGGAATCCCTGACAGAACTCATACGTCTGGGACCAGATCCTTGGGGGCCATGATCCGAAGTTCCTTTCCCTTCAACACTTCTCTTCACTTTCTACTATTTGGATCAGAATTGACAGTTTTTACTTAAGGTCTAACGCATACAAAATAATTTTTATCTTTCTTCTGCAAATTGTCCAAGAAAAACTTATCACTACAGGTATGTCTTAGTGTGAGTGAGTAACTGATATAGTTTAGATATTTGTCCCTTCTAAACCTCATGTTGAAATCTGATCCCCAATACTAGAGGTGAGACCCGGAGGGGGGTATTTGGGTCATGGGGTGGATCTCTCGTGAATAATCAGTTTGGTGCTGTCCACACAGTAATAACTAAATTCTTGCTGCATTTGTTCACGAGAGCAAGTTGTCTAAAAGAGTGTGCACCTCTCTCTCTCTCTCTCTCTCCTTCTCCCGTCTCTTGCCATGTGATACAACTGCTCCTCCTTCACCTCTCGCCACAATTAGAAGCCTCCTGAAGCACTAGCCAGAGCAGATCCCAGTGCCATGCTTCTTGTACAGCCTGCGGAACCGTAAGCCAAATAAACCTCTTTTCTTCATAAATTACTAAGCCTCAGGTTTATAGCAATGCAAAATGGAGTAATGCAGTGACAATGTGAATAACACACATATATTTGTGTTAAGTGCTTACGAGCACCATCATCCTTGATTTCTACAACAATCCTATGAAAAACAGACTGTTCAAATCCCCATTTTATATTCCAAGAAACACAGTTACCAAAGAAATGTGTGTGCCTTCAAAGCCTATATTCAACTACTATGAGCTAATGAGGGCTTAAATATGAGTAAGACATAGTCCTTGACCTCAAACAGCTTACATTCCAGTGTAGCAGAAGAGATCAGATGAATTAAAAAAGTAGAGAATTTGTTAAAGTCATAATGGTGGCTGAAATAAAATGTTACAAAAGTTCAGAGAAAGAAAAATTATTCCCAGATGGGGGAAAAAAAGTTTTGGCCAGTGTTTTTGATGATAGTAGCATTTTATCTGACATCTTAAATTACCAAAAGAAAGAAAGGCATTTCAATCAGAGGAAACTGTAAGCAAAACACAGAAGTGGAGAGGCGCAAAGTCCACTCTGCAAGACAGCAGTTTTACAGCTCTGGAGCTTACAGCAGAATAGAACAGCAGACCAGAGCTTGAGCTCTGAAATCAGCCTCCTGGGTTCAAACTCTGCCCCATCTCATAGATCTCTGATCTTGTACAAGCTACTTAATCTTCCTGAAATGACATTAGTTTAGCCATAAAATAAGAATACCACTATCCAATTTACATGTTTGTCATCAGGATAAAATGAAATTATGTGTGTAAAATACAGTGTTTACTGCTAACACATATAATACACTCCATACTCAATAAATAATCTTTATTATTGAATGTTACCAACAAGAAAAGCAATGATAAGACTTTGAGGACATTGTTAATAAGAGACAAGGCAAGGAGAAGAACTAGCCTGGGGAAGGGAGCTAAGTGAGTAGTTTGGTTTTATACCTGTTGAGTTTTCAGCTCCATGGGTTATTCAATTATAGCACTTAAAATGTACTGTGATTTCTTTCCATTGTCTTTTCCTCATTAGAATTAGGCATTTAAAAGTGATGCAGAAATGGCAGAGATGGTTAGGAGCAGAGCATTAATAGAACTTTAGACCAATGACAGAACTTCAAACATCTCCCTAAAGTTAGAGGAGTCAGGAAGCAGAAAAGGATAAAGAGGACCAAAAAACAACAACAAACAAGAAACTAAATGAATACAGTGTCACAGAACCTCTTTACACGGGAAAGGAATTCCAACACCTGACAGCATGTGTGTGGTACACAAGTGTGTATACAACATTTACACACTTTTTGTAAAATGTATTTGTGTGTGTGTGTGTGTGTGTGTGTGTGTGTGTGTGTGTGTGTGTGAGATGGAATCTTGCTCTGTCCAGGCTGGAGTACAGTGGCGCAATCTTGGCTCACTGCAACCTCCACCTCCCAGGTTCAAGTGATTCTCTTGCCTCAGCCTCCCAAGTAGCTGGGATTACAGGTGCACACCACCACACCCAGCTAATTTTTGTAATTTTAGTAGAGACGGGGTTTCACCATGTTGGCCAGGATGGTCTTGATCTCTTGACCTTGTGATCCGCCTGCCTCAGCCTCCCAAAGTGCTGGGATTACAGGCGTGAGCCACCGCGCCCAGCCATATTTATGTATTTTTATAAATAAAAAATTAAACTTTATCTTTAAAAGAAAATTTAAATATTATGATTTTCATAATTAAGCAAGCATTTATTAAAAGAACGTCCACTATAACACTTCCTCAGTTTTTCCCTAAATGAATCATGACAAGGAAGACAAACATAACCATAATGATTTAATAAGTATTACTAGTGAGACAGATGCAAAGAAAGGAGTTTATTTGTCCTTGAAGAAGCAAGGCAAGATTCAAAGATACATAGACAGTGGAGCTGATACTTGAGCTAGGTCTCAGGAGGCTGCTAGGTGGCTGGAGCAGGTAAGAGGCCTTGGAGGGAAAGACACACTCCTGGAGACAGACTGCATAGAGCCTATTTGGAGCACAGCACGTTCGCCCCTGAGCTAGAGTGAGAGTAAACAGAAGGACAGCTACAGGAAAAGTTAAGAGTGGACCAGGCTGTGAAAGGCTTTGTAACAGGTAAGTCGTTTAGACTTGAGTTCATAGGCAATGAGCATCCATGAAAATAAGTTACAAATTTCCTACGTGCAGCTAAGAAATTATTTTTATATAATTAAATATCTGACAAAATGGAGACCAAAGGAAGCGACAAATCATTAGAATTACAACCAACTGAAAATCACTTAAAAACTAATAGTGTTTCTAAGATTCAAGGCAAAGTATGGTTCAATTAATCGCAACATAATATACAGACAAATTTTCAGAAATATAACCATTTTGTAAATCAAAGCATACTAAATTTTGAAACATAATAGAGGCACTTTTTGATACTAGGCAATGGATACCTAAAATACCTGTAAATATTTGTAAATTTTGTACTAAAATTTGATAGAGGACTTTTTACCTGTGCACCTATAGTTAGTATTTTAAAAGCAAAACCAAATTTGGTTTCCAAAGATTGAAAATTTAACCTAAGTTCTATTTTAAAAAATTATGAAACAACAATTTGATAGATAAATGCACAAAAAATATACTTCTATTTCTAAATGCTAGCTTACAATCTAAAAAAATGCTCAAATGTTAACAGATTTATTTAATAAACAAAATGATATATAATTAAATACTTACTGTTGGCTTCACTAGCAACTGACCCATCACTGTGAACATCCGGGAAAGGCCAACTGGTGTACACACTGCAGAAATAAGATCACCAAAAGACAGAAAGCTACATTAGCGAGCTTGGAGAGATAAACAACTAGACCGTAAAAATAAGACAAACTCGAAGATTATTTTAAGAACATTCTTCTTAAACATTGTTCATTTTAAGAACATTCTTCTCTCCAGTTGAGATTCTTGGTGTTTTGCCAGAGGACTCTTCACCTTCATCAACAAAGACGCTAGAGGGGCATGTGAGGAGGATAGGCGTAATTAGTTACGAAAGATGTGTGACGACAAAGGCTTAGAATAATATTCAAGATTCTAGCAGCTGAAGAATAAATACTTTTACTTAAATAAAAGAAAAATAAGCAAAGAATCGGTTAAATTTCAAGTTATTAATAGGACTGAGAAACAAACAAGAATATCTAAAGGTGACAACCATAGTCTTAAGTCCTTTAAAATATATTTATCTATTTATAATACCCCTGAGATAGGCTGTGATGCTTCAAGTCAAAGAAAACAAACTTTCAAAAAACCACAAACTTATCGTATATAATTCTACCATTTCCATTAAAAAGCAGAATCTAGCATTGTCTCGGGTGTCAGGGTGAGGGTAGGGCATATGTTATGAGTGTGTGTATAGTTTGTGTGTCAGTGTACATAACAGTGTATGAGTGTGTGAGAGTGTGTGAGTGAGAGTGTACGCGTGTCTGTCTGTCCATACCTCTCTCTACAACCCAGTAGAAGAGGCTTTCCTTAGAGAACAATAAAAGCACCTTATTATTTCAAAATTTCCATTTATCAAAATTTATTTTGAATAAAAAGAGTTAGGGCAAACTCAAAAAAATCTCCAAATAGTTAAAATATCTCATCAGAAAACTTTCCTGCAATTTTCCAGAATACAGGATAACTCTACTTTTCTATCAATATTAAGTCTGAAAAATACTTACAGAGAAGTAACAAACATCCCATCAATGATATACAGGAATATAAATAGGGTAGATAGAACTCCCAGAGATCTATTAAAAAAAGTAAATATATTTTAATAAATCCAAAATACTGCGTGTTAAGATACAGTCTATTTTACGATAAGATAGAGGCTGACTTATACCTCATGTAAACATTGTAATTGCCTATTTGAGTTTATTAAACCATATAATTACTAAGTTATACAATAAAAAGATCTAAAATAGAAAACCAAGAAGTAAGCCTTTAGCAAAACCTGTTTGGAGGGAGAAAAAAAGTTTCTATGGAATTTGAAGAACAAAAACCAATTAACAACAACAACAAAATGTGAAAAGCTACTTACTCGTTCTTCACATATAAAAGAAAGAAAACTTCATTCTTAAAGATAACTAAAGATTTCTTAATTCTGTAAATTAACATCAAACATCTTTGTTAACCATACCCAGAATTATTTAAATGTTTTTAAAACTGAATGTGTCATTGTATCCTAAACTATAGTTTCCATTGAAGAAACTGGTTAAAACAAGGACATCCATACCATATAAAGATTCCATGCTTGCCGCATCATTGTCAATGAGTGCTGAAGCTACCCACACTATCCCAAGAATGAGTAATGCAAGAAGCAGCAGCATGACCAGAGTCTCTAAAATGCGGGCTCGGATTCCCTGAAAAATACAGCAGAAATATAATTTTAGTATTTCACAACATTTCATGAACAATAGGGTTTCTGCCTATATGAAAGCATAAAATAATCCCTTGAAAGGAGAGGAAATTTATATTAACAGGAAAAAAAAAACACTAAGTACTTATAGTTTATAGTGTTTAGACTGACTTTTCAAAATTATGAAAAATATTATTAAGCTTGGATAAAATGCAAAAAAAATTCTTCATAAAAAACATCTGCAGAACCATTTTAAACAATTAATTACTTTCCTAACACTTTCCACTAACAAAGCAGATTAATGAATTTCTATCCGTGATTCTAATCAAGGGAATAGAGGGCTAATTATGGCACACAGCCAAGGAGTTCACTCAGCACTGAACTGGGTGCACGCACAATGCTCCGAGCGGCTGGAGTGCGCCAGCTCTCTCTAGCATAGACTCTGGTGCTCCTCACAGCCTCCGGAGCCCTCTACTGTGCCGCTGGAGAACTGTCCATTGTAATCCAACATTATAAACTATAGAGATACTGCTTTCACCAATTGTATATGATGCTTTTCTTCACATTATATAGAACTTTAAGTAATCCATGAGGATGAAATATAATAATATAATCATTATGCACAATTGTGTTTTAAATGTAAAACAAATTCTGAACTCAGGACCAAACTAAAGGCTAGACTTTTAAAACTTAAAACTGCAGGACAAGACAAAAAAAGAAATTTATTTTTACTCCCCAAAAAGTCACCAAATAATTGAATCTGCAACCATAAGTTAGAAGATTCATACTGATATTTTTTACTGCAATGAACTAACCTACAATTATCTAATACAACCAACAAAATTATAAATACATCCGTATTTCTCAATAAATCATGTAATCTCATTCCACATTTTAAATAATTTAAAGATGAGAGTTATAAAATGCTAAAACACATATTTATTTCAATATTCTCCTAAGTATTCTAATTTATGAATTACAGGAATAGGTTACACTAAAATCACAGCACCCAGTTCTTCAAATTCAATAGAAAGGAGAGGAAATGTCCTAAAACCATGGAGAAGTATACCTAGCCCTAAATGATGACCTCTGAGGTGAAGTGGCTTTTTCTTACCAGCCCTTCAACAATATCGCAAACTTACCTCAGGGCTGCACTTGGCAGGTTTAAAACACCCTCAAATCTGAGAGTCAGCTCACCTTAAGTGTTCATAGCATGGGAGGCCAGTGAACCAGAATGAATTAGGCTTGTATTTTAACACATGAAATCTCATAGTAAGTAGCTATTAATCACAGGAAATGAAATATGAATAGTCACAAAACTCACTACAACAAAACATACACTACTACTTTACTGAAGAGTCCTTTGAACTTCCACTTCACAACTTTCAAACTATTTAAGATACTGATATGGTTTGCCTGTGTCCCCACCCAAATCTCATCTTCAATTATAATCCCCATAATCCCCCTATGTAATGGGAAGGACCCAGGGGAGGTAAGTGAATCATGGGGGTAGTTTCCCCCATGCTGTTCTCATGATAGTGAGTGAGTTCTCACAAGATCTGATGGTTTTGTAAGTGTCTGGCATTTTCCCTGCTGGCACTCATTCTCTTGCCACCTTGTAGAGAGGTGCCTTCTGCCATGATTTTAAGTTTCCTGAGGCCTCCTCAGCCATGCCGAACTGTAAGCGAATTAAACCTCTTTTCTTTATAAATTACCCAGTCTCAGGTATTTCTTCATAGCAGTGTGAGACAGATAACAGACTAATACAGATACCAAAACATTATTCACCACCTTTAACAATGATTTCTCTCTTCCTTCCTTCCTCCTTCCCTTCTTTTCTCTCTAAGCATTAATGCTTTTTATTATACATTAAATATTTTGTGGAAACCCTATCAATAAACAGACAAAAGGAGATAAAATTATATCTTGCATGTCTATGCAGATTTGCTCTAGTATTTGTGTTATACTCTCTGAATTCAGTCTTTCCCTGCCTCCAACCAGCCCCTAAGAAATATATGAACTAAAGAGTAGGGTTCCCGAAACAAGTAACACATGCATTATACATCTATTATGTCAACACAACAGTGCAGCAGTGTCAGAAGCGTTACATATATGAACTACACAGTGGTGGTTCCTTGGAACCATTTAAAACCCACTGTCCAAAAGAAGTTATAATTGTTATGTTAAATAATTACAACACTATAACAATAAGTACAATATAATTTTTATGATGATAATAAATGTTGGGAAACCACAAATCACCATAAAATTTATAGGCTTCCTCTGGTATTTTGGTGAGAACTATTTCTTAGCAATTAAACTTGTGTTCTTCAGATACGTGCCTATGTGCTGGGAGGCAATGCTCCATGGGTCTCTCACATTTCTATGCATCTCACAAGCAGAGGCAGGGACAGACCTTACTTAGAGCTGTCTTCTTAAGGTTTGTAGAGCAGACGGCCTTGGGATTTAGAGATAGTGTATCTCTGAAGCAAAGGACAGGTTTGTTTACTGTCTAGCAGCACAATATTCACCTCCAAGCAAAGGTTAGACAGAGTTGCCTGCAGCCCAATGTAACTACTATGGGTTCCCTAGCTGTGATACAGAACCATTGTGGGGCTTGGGGTGTAGGGAAACGGGCACCAAAAGGAAGCTTGTACACTTGGTTATGTGCTGTGCATACCCAAGTCCTTTGCCTCCGACCCAGACATCTCATGTTTACAACCAGCATCCATGACTGGGAGATTAAGTTGTTAGTTTGCAAGCAGGATGAAATCTTAGACCCTTCACAGTTCTTAACGGGTTTTGGTGGCAAGGATAGAAGGCTAACAGACGGCTTTCTGGAAACGAAAGAGGGGCCCTGCAGATGGGCTTAAGGGATATGCAAAGACTCCTGGATCTATCAATGGCAATGAGTGTGCTCACCCATGTGGTGGGCAAGCAGGAGGAGCAGGGATCCCAAGCAGTCCTAGCTGCTGGCGACAGTCTGCAGGCCGAGGTAGGTAGTGAGGCTGAGCCCACTGCTGGCTAGGTTGTCACTCCCTCTCCTCTGAGCATAAGCGGGAAGGAATGTTATCATGACGGTGGAACAGCGAGCCTGCAACACCAGCTAAAAGGTCCTGTGGGTACAGCTGCTCTATCAAGGAGTCCCAAAGCTGAATAAACAGTGTCAGGAATGAGTCTATAGACCTATGCATAAACTGATGTCATTACAAATTCGGCTGAGCCATACGCAGCCACTAGCCACTCAAAATGAAAGGCCGAGGCCTTGCTCAACAGCGTGGGCCAGTCACTCTTCCCACTGCCCCTTCATCTGTCCTCCCCCAGCTCCGACCTCACATGCTTAGGAAAAAAGACGACTGGGGTAAAGCAGAGGTCTCCCTGTCCTTCAGGGGAATAAAAGCCACACAGACCCACCTGAGCGTGCAGGGGAACTTCAGGAAGGAGAGGGACTCAAACTCACAGCTCTACTGAGTACAGGAATCCACATCACCATCCTACCTGGTCCTTCACAAAGGACTGTGAGGTGGCCACACAGAATTGTTGGTGAACAACGACCTTTTTTTTTTTTTAATAAAGATAAATATGAATAATGATATATATATAGTTATAAACTAAAATGGAATGCCAAAAAACATTTTTGAAAGAGAAGTCATTTAATAATAATTCTTGATTATTTTATACATAAAGAATTAGACATTTAGGTGAGAAAAAAAAGTTAAAGAAAAAATTCATTTTAAATAGGGGTCATTTAAAATGATACATTTCACTTTTTACTGACAGTAGAGAAATTAAAGTTAAATAATCTATTAAAAACTTAAGTTTACCACTAATCTTACTGGTATCAAAGTAATAGAATTAGTAGCAGTAATAGTAACTAGTATCAAAAATAATACTACTAAGATACTAGAGAATAGAACAAAAAAGAAAATATAGCTAAAAATAGAAAACCAGTTTAGCAAAATATTAACCACAACAAAATATATAAAATACAAAAACAAAATGATAAAACCAAATATATCTACTCTAATGATATATGCAAATCAGGTCAAAAAACAAAATTCAGCTGTGTAAGACCTATGAAAACTAAAGTGATACTAAAAAATAAAAGTGAAAAGTAATGATTAAAGCTTACTATTTAATTTTTTAAAAATATAACAGAATCTAAATATAGAAGGGTGCAAAACAAAAAATGTTAAACGGGACAAAGTAGGACATTTTATATTGATGAAATTTGCTATCCACTACATTATTATGTTCTGTTCCTTTAGTTTAACTGGTGAGTACACAGAGCTTTATTGTTATTATTCTTTACATGATATTTAAATAAATACAAAACCGGGCCAGGCGTGACGGCTCATGACTGTAATCCCAGCACTTTGGGACGCCAAGACGGGCGGTTCACTTGAGGTCAGGAGTTTAAGACCACCCTGACCAACATAATAAAACCCCCATGTCTACTAAAAACACAAAAATTAGCTGGGCATGGTGGTGGGTGCCAGTAATCCCAGCTACTCAGGAGGCTGAGGCAGGAGAATTGCTTGAACCTGGGATGCAGAGGTTGCAGTGATCCAAGACTGCACCACTACACTCTAGCCTGGGTGACAGAGCGAGACTCTGCCTCAAAAAAGCTAAATAAATAAATAAAATAGAAAACCTTGATTCATTATATTCTGGATGTTTATGCAAATTTGATATTAATTTTAAAGTTCATTTAAATTTTTAAAAATAAAAATTCCTAAATATGTGTCCATTTTGATGGGCTGCCACCACCCTGTGCATACCATCAGCTTGTGATGCAGCAGCAGGTCAGAGAGCCCGGCCCCCACATTAGGAGGCCTCAGGGGACGGAGGGCCTCACTGGGTGGTTTCGCTTCCACAGTGGATTAGGAAGTAGGGTTTCCCCAGGAGGTAACTGCCAGTTTTTCATGGGAAACCTTAATGCAAAGTAAGGCCAGGCAGGCTGGGCTCTAGAAGAGATTTTTATTTGGCCAGGAGGTCTGTTAA